TCCCTCACTGGCAACCTGTTGCGCTCACCAAACAGGGTTGATTGATGTCTGTGCGTGTTGCGTGCGCAGTGTTTAGGGTTTAGGGGGGAGCCAGGCACCTTTGCCAGTGCAGGGCTGGGGAGAAACCTCCCCTACAGTTGGTCCAACCCTAAACTTACCGGTGCTTAGTAGGGAATTATGGGAATACAATTCTTTCATAATCAGTATACGAACTATAATGTGTTACCATGTTCCCTACAAACCCCAAGCAAGTGAACCTAAAGAAAAAGGACTCCGTCCTGGCGGTCCTCATGCAGACTTCTATTGCTTTCAGGGTCTGGTGCGTGAGCTTCAGGGTCGTGTTATTGACTTGCATGACCTCACATCGTCTCCCTGATTGCCACACTTTCCCTGGTTCAGAGTAGTTGCCGGCCTGCGTTTTGAAACTAATGTCCAGAACCTGATTTCGTATGATTTTGTCATATGTACTATAGTCTAAACTCCAAAATTAAAAGGGGTTATATAGGGGATTCTATAGGGGACTACTATAGGGGTTATTAAGGGGGATACTAGGAGTTTAGGCCATAGCTCATATAGCTACATAGCGGATTTCAACCACATCCTGGTAGGATGCTTGTTATTGTTCAAAGGGCCTGTATGGCCCGCATGGCTGAATTCTCCGCTTTTCTGATTCTGTGGTCTCCAACGTCACACGTTGAAGCTTACGTCTTTTGCCCCTAACGTGCCGTGATTGCTGAAGGTCACCAGTGTAGCTGGACTTGCTGGGTATGTCTTTTCCTGTTTCCTGATAAGGCATGTATTATGGTCCCCTCAGGGGCAACCTGGCGTGTATATATATATATATATTTATTCACATAGGACTCAGGGCTAGGGTTTAAGATGAGATCTGCTGCCGATGCTTTCCGTAATGAAGTGTGCTTGTACAGTAATCTGTACGTGCGTCAGCATGAAGCTTTCCAAATCATTGCATGCTTGCTTGCTGTTATGAGTTTTGCGTTGAATTCTAGCTTAGTTAGTTCATGCGGACCCAGTTCACGTGAAGTTTTATCATTCAGGGTCAGTGAGTTGGTCTTGGCTGAGGGCGGCAAAAGTAAAACGAATCCGGAAGGAGCACCACAGCGGGGCTTGCTTCCAAAGTGGCACCCTTCCTCTGCTTCGCCCAAAAACTCCATACATAGCTCAGAGGTAACCAGCCCTTGTCTTGAGTGCTGTCCCCGTCTCTGAGGACGTCACCAGGCTCGATAGCCTTCACAACTCAACTGTGTCAGGCTTCAAGTCACAGGATGAGCGCCGCCTCGCACTGTTTGAGGGCCACCTGAAGGCGGGAGGTTCACATGGGCATTTCTCAGAATCGTCTTACCTGTTTTTAGTAGAGAGTAACAGAATATAATCCTTATATGATACCCCTATGATTTATTGCATATCCCCTAAAAAAGATTAAGCAGTTCCTGTATATTCCTCAAGGAGGACCTCCCCCGAATTTGCTTGTAATCCCTTTGTGCACCGTTTGAGAACCCTAAACTGTAAACCCTAAAACCTAAACCCTAAACCCCAGAACCCCATCTCAAGGCAGGGCCGCAAACTTGTGTTGCCTTAGGCTTGACCATTACAACTGCTAGGGTTTGGGGCTTAGGGTCAAGGGTTTAGGGAATGTGGTATGTTTGCTACTACTAGTAACCTCATGTTGAGAGCCAACATAGTAAATCGTGATAGATTATAGTATATGTGTAATATGTCATGGTATAGTATGATATATGATAGTGCATTATGGTCTAGTACAGTATATTGGACTTTTCAGTTGAAAAATACTGCAGCCTATGCTCGGGAAACTTGGACCCTAGCTTTTGCTGAGGAAATCTTTTGAAGTCCGTTTGAGCAAAGGCATTCAGGCATTTTGATTCGTGCTTTCGCGAGGTGTTCTTCTCTTGGTCGCCAGCGTGCTGCTGATCCTGATTGGAGGCTTTGCGCCGTATGCTACCATTTCTGGTTTTTCGTGGGTTGCGCCATGCCACTATAACATCTAAAACAAAAACCACTCTAAAACCCCAACATAGCTAAATTTACTGCCCCCAAGATACCCGTATAATGATACCTGTTTACTTCCCCAACATCATCTACTCCAATATGGTTCTATCATACCCAAACATGTCCGTATAAGAGCATACGCAGCTTGACTCAGCAGGTTGACTCGCTCGGAAGATGAGCAAAGCTTCTGCAGTTCTGTTTTCAGTGTCTTTGGCGAGTCTGGCTGGTAGAGCCCAAGCCCTGAACCCTAAACCCTATAACTGTGTAGCCACTGCAGGAAGCTGCAAGCCCCGTTGGTTTTGGGTCCAGATTTTCTTTTGGTGGTTAGTACTGACTAAGGAACAGAGAAATAGAAGGTTTAGGGTCTAGGGTTAGTAGTGAGTAAGGAACAGAGCAATAGAGCCCTTGAGTAATTGTCATGTGCTTTCTTACTGGGAGAGCTGATTTCCCAAAATCAAGGGTCTCCTAGAAGTCGGACTATAGTATATTGCGGTCTATATCGGGTTCACATTCCTTCTTCCCCTACTCAGCACCAGATAGTTGAGGGAGGTTTTAGGATCCAGGTCTTCAAGCTAGCTGACACTTGCCCAGAAGTTTAGCGTACTGAGCTTCTGCCAGGTTCCCTTGCCGTGTATCCAAACCTGCACCTCCAAGCTAAGTCACAACCCTCTCAGTCGTGCGTATAGGCTTAATCCTGTACCATACAGTAGGATCTGTCCCTAAACTGCTTAGGAAAGAATAGTTGGACATGGTTAAGAAAGTTGTAACCCAGTCAGATCCATGGGAAAAAGAGTGAGGCAGGAGGGGATTCCTTACATTGTGCATCAATGGCGGTCCCCAGCATCATTCGAGGCCTTACATCGATTTGTCAATTTGGTTTGGGCTACCTACCATGAGCTTGGCATCGACTTGTGTATCGTTCTATGTTTGTCCTTGGAATGTCGTTGGTCCGAAAGATAAGAAGTCTGAAGGTCCATGGGCATTCAGTCCGGCCTCTGCATAGCACGGCATGCTCTATGATGGTCTGCCCTGAGCCCTTAGCACGGAAGGGGTTTTGAGTTTAGGGCCTAATTCCCTTACAATGCCTACATAACCATGCCAAAATTTACCTTCAAATCATCCACAGCCTTATCCACTGTGCTAACAGAAGCAGCCAGGCTTCCGTCACCACCAGAGAGTTCACAGGCCTGCCGTCAATGAACCTGTACATCATTTGTCTGGCCTTTGGTTAGCTAGGAATGAAGGAATAGAAAGGAAATGGAAACTACAATTTAGGGTTTAGGGTTTAGGGTTCAGAAGGGATTGGAAAGAAAATGGTAACCACTATAATAGGCCATATAGGGCCTACTATAAGGATCCATTTTGTCATACCTAGCTAACCAAAGGCCAGTTGTTTCCTTTCCCTGAGAACACAGGGTTTGGGTTTAGGGTTAGCCCTTGACAATAGACTTGGATTTTCACAAGCTCCATCTTTACAGTACAGCGGCGTCCTGAATACGGATGATAACATAGTTGCCATGATTACAAGCCCCGGTCACATTAACTTTGTTGTGCAGAGTACAGGACCTCAAGCAATCCGCGAGCAATCCATTCCTAGGCTCGAAGAGCCAGCCCAACGCTTGGTATAATCCCTAGATTCTAGATTATGAACCCCCTATACATTTCCTATATTCTGTAGTCTGGACCAAAGCTTAGGGTATGGACCTTGTAGTTCAAACCCCTTAAAATATCCTAGAATAGGCCGCCTCATGCACGCTTTCAACGGATATAACTGGAACCTCTGAAGCAGACCAAGGGCCCGTAGTGTTGTTTCTGGGCAAACTTGCAGGCCTCAGCTATATGAGGCCGATAGTGATATAGGGGACTATATACTATTTAGGGAAGTATAAAGGGGAATTCTAGGAGTTAAGACTATGGCTCCTATGTCCCTATAAACCACCGGTTCCATTTCATTTTTCATTTTTTCCATCTGATTTGCCATTAAAGTAGACTATAGCTTATATACGTAAGGCATATTGGATGCGGGGCCAGGAGTTGACTGCAAAGGCCAAAAGCGCGTTGGCTGGTCTCAGGGCAGTTGGTTTAGGATTTAGGGTTAGAGTGGCTATTGTTGTGACTTTGATACAGTAGCTGTCACCGCATGAAGACTGTTCAGATTGTAGTGCCATGATCCCCGGCATTCGTTTTCCTTGCCTACAAGACTCCCTGAACCCCAAGTGCCTGAGTTGCACTTGGCGGCTCAGATACCCAACCCTAAGCATCCCAAGCCCTCAGCCCTAAGCCCTAAACCCGTAAACCCTAAGCCCTAAGCCTTAAACCCGTAAGCCCTAGGCCCTAAACCCTAAGCCCTAAGTCCCAGAACCCAGTGCGACCATGGGAAAGCTATGGCTTTTGCCATGCTTCTGGGCCACAGCCTGGGCCTGCACAGGCCTGGACCCGGAGTATGGAGCTCATTGCAGGCCTCCAGTCCTAGCGGAAAGCATCCTGCTGATGATCCTTCTTCTGGGTTACTGTTAAGGAACTCAATTTCAGTTACTATACTGGGGAAGCCCTATTATGTACTGTATATACTTGGAATGGTAACTTAATTTGAGTTCCTTAACAGCAACTCAGGATCCTGATTTGCCTCCTTTCCAGTGCTTCTGCTGTGGGAATCTCCTGGTGCTGTGGTCTATGGAAGTTGGGTAGACTGCCAACCTTGCTGCTGTCCTTGGTCGTGTTCTTTGCATTGGCTCTCATTACCACGGCTTTTCCTTGGTGGATCACTCATTCTGCATTCTGGCCCCCTGAGCAGTGCTTCCTTCTAGATGCCGGCAGTAGACAGTCGGCAATTACATCCGGGGCGATGTACGTCTTCGCATCAACCATGGGAATCTCATGGGCATGCCTTTCAGTGAGCCTTGTTTGGATGTATGAAGTTCCATCGCCTAGATGTGACTGGGTAAGCGGGCTGTAGAGTATCTAGTCTTTGCCAGCATCGTGAACACCGTTGGCTGCATCAGTCTGGCGCGCCTGACATGCGGTGAACCCACTCAGCTTGATGTTTTGGCAAGTGTACCTCTGGCCTTCAATCCGATCACCAACGTCCTTTTGAAGAGGATCATCCTCCGGATGTCAGAGATACATGCGGGTAGAGAGCAAACCAAGAACATGCGCCGAACAACCCATGCAGAATCCATCACTGGTGTAATGTTTGTGATCCTCGCGGTCGTCGTCGTCCTGCTGGCTCTTCTTGGCAGTGATTTGTGGGCTGATGCAACCTTTCCCCGCGTTGTGGTGGCAGCCGGCACGCTGGCAATAGTGTTCCTCGTGGTCCTCGACGCTTGGGTAGTAACTTCAGAAAGTGTGTTTAAAGACTTCGTAGCTGTCATGCAGATGAAGTTTACGTAAGCTTTCGGGGCATTACGGAATAATTTGGAGGATGGTGTTTTCTCGTGGTCAGCATACACATCCCTGCGGTCAGTGGTACGCAGTGTGGAGATGGCCATGCCGATGCAAGACCCTGGCAAACTGAGCACCGCCTTGTCTGTTGCGAAAACCAATCTCTATCTGGTGCCCACAATGGGAAACAGCAAGGGTCATAGAGTGAGGTCTAGCAATTTTTCAAGACATGTGATAGAAGGGCAAAAAGCGGCGTTTGCAGAGAAGTGAGATTTTGTAAGATCACCTTAAGTCACGGAAAGCACAGCTGGAAGGACGAGTAATACGAACGCTTGGGGCGAGTTCCCTGACCTCAGGTGGTGCTTGCAGTCGTGGGCACCAGCCTCTTCTACGGCATGTTCGTTGGCGCTGGAGTCGCCTTCTTACTTTTCTACAGGACAGGCCTGACGCTTGGGGAGTCTGGCGATGCCCCTGACACTGCGTCCGATCCTACTACTACCGGGATCGTGCCGCTGATGATCTGGTGCTTGGACAGCGTGTTCAACGATGTTTGCGCTGTCTACTTGGGGTGCGGCCCCACGCAGGCTGCACTTGATCTAGTTACACAGGCCAGCCACGCAGATGCTTTGGGCATACCAGTAGCAGACACAGTTGGACAGGTCCTTGGGGCACCTGGGGTGGGTGAAGTGACGAAGGGTCAAGCAGGAGCTGTCGGCAAGCCTGTGGCAGCTGTTTCTGGGGAGGTCCTTGGAACACCGGCGCAGGAATCCAATAGTCGCCCAGTAGCCACAGTAGAGGCTTGAAGTGGGGTACCTCCGAAGTGAGACTCCCCAGCTCGCAAGCTTGGTACTCCAGACTCCAGAAGTTTTTCGTAGCTTTAGGCATCATACTGTGACATCTCCGTCCCTGAGCTGAAGAGCATGGGGAATGTGTGATGCAACATGGTCACCACGGGCCATTGGCCACGATTGTAGTCCCCCTTAAGTAGATAGAATATGGGATATGGGGATCTTATTATCATATACCCAAAAGCCGTATTCTATCTACTTAAGGGGGGCTCTATAGCGCTGCATGTAAAGAACTGCGGCCCTGGCTGCGAAGCTAGCCAGCATGGGCTAGTTTCAAGGCGGAGGTCGTTTTTCCTGCGCAAAGAAGAACAGATGTGTTAATGGAAAAGAAAAATGGAAACTACTATATTTTAGGGGTTATATCCGGTTTATATAGGGATTATATAGGGGTTATATGGGGATTACATGTGTAGGGGAGATAGGTACCCATTGGGGTAATATTAGGGGTCTATTGGGGTAATACTGGGATAATGGAAAAGAACATGGAAACTACTTTTGATGCCTTTTCTGTTGCGCTCCGGAGGTTCTCTCGGAAGTGGAGCTTGAGAAGATTTGCAGCATGCTTGGTGACCACCAACCACGGAGGCGAGTCCTCCATGCAATGGGAAAGCTGTTTAGGGTTTAGGGTTTAGGTATTGGCTGAGTGCAAGTACCTATCTACACATGCTACGGTATCCAGAATCAGTCCACAGCTAACAATGGATTGGAATTACCACTAAACCTTGAATCCCAAACCGCAAGGCCCCAAGATACCTCATCATATCCTCGTGTACCAGCGCCCCGCATGAAAACTACAGGGAATTCCAACAATCCTAAATCCTGAACCCTAAACCCCTAACCCTAAATCCTGAACCCTGAACCAACCCCCCACACTGTAGTCCCCCTTAAGTAGATAGACTATGGCTTTGGGTATATTAGAATAGGATCCCCGTATACCCCATATTCTATCTACTTCAGGGGGACTATAAACCCTAAACCCTAAACAGCCCCAACTTGAGGATTCTGGTAATTTTGGGGGATGTAAGCGGGTAGCTCCTACTTCTTGAAAATTCACCAGCCCTGGGTCTGGATTCCGGCTTCAGTAAATCCTTAAAAAAAGGAAGGATTCTAGTATCTCGGGGGCATAGAAGGGGTCCTCTGTTTTTTGGACTTCTTGTTGACCCGTTGGCGGCTGCAGCAGGGATATGTGTGGCCGGGCATTGTCTCTAACGTAGACCCATGATTACTAAACCTTCTGCCTGTAAGGGTCTTAATACTAGGATCCCTATTATACTCCCTATCAAGGGAAGGGGGTTTATTTATCAGGGGTCTACATTACCCCTAAACCCTAAACCTTAAACTCTAAAACCTAAACCCTAAATAGTAGTTTCCATTTTCTTTTCCATTATCCCCATTTTGGGTCTACACTACCCTGAGTGCGGCTGAGAGCCTTTGAGAGCTTGTTGTTGCCTTCGAGAGTTTGGGGAATTTGAGGGGTTTAGGGTTCAGGGTTTGGGTTCAGGGTTTGGGTTCAGGGTTTGGGTTTAGGGTTTGGGGTTAGGGTTTAGGGCTTAGGGCTGAGGTTGTCTCTGCACAGTTTCAGCTGCGTTCCAAATTTTGGTGAGATCTCGTACTCGTGCGTGCGGAGCGCAGCACTAGGATATGAGCAGAAGAATGCCTAAACCTTTTTTTGGGTAGATTGTCTAGGCAGCGTTCGTGCCAGTCAGTTGGGATTCGGATGATGGTCCCATGAAACTCTGAAGAGAACTGTGTCCAAGACGTGATCTTCTTTCCGTGCCCTTGATACCATTAAATTTCATTCATAGTCTGAAATTCTACTATAGTGAACTCGCCGGATGCTTTCTCGAGCTTTCAGAGAAAATCAGAGTTTAAAAGCCATCGCAGTTTCCAAAAATCGGGGGCCTTAGTGTAGACTAGTAGACACGAATATTCCAAATTCCTTGATCTGGGGATTGCCAAAGAGGAAACCCCAAACCCTGTAGACCCATATATAGACCCCTATAAACCCATTGGATGCCTCTGAATCATAGTGTCACTGTAATTTGGGTGGTTGTCAAAATTATGAGTACACGAACCCAGCACTACGCAGGCAATATGCCGATCAAAAGAGGGTTTCTCAAAACAGGGGTACCCTTCTGGACTCAAGGGAGAAATAGGGATGCTACGGATCTTGCGCGGTTTAGGGTTTTAGGGTTTAGGGTGAGGAGCCTTATTTCCGGAAGAGGGTTGGGGCAAAACCTTCAGAGAAGATCGGCTTGAGTGAGGCCTGTGCGGGCCTTTGGGTTTAGGCTATTTGGTTCATCAAGACAGGCATGCCCCTAGGAGATGATGCTTGCTATATTGGAACTTGCAAAGGGTGCCCCTGAATTTTAATATCGCCCCATTACGGGGTCACATAGGCCGGGTTAATCTTGCGGCATAGTAAAAGCTAGGAAACATGACGCAATCTTGACTTCGGAGGCTGCGAAACGGATCGACGCTATTTTGGCGGCAAGATGCAAGACAAGATGAGCCCCTGAAGAAACAGCATGGCTTGCGTTGCACAGGCGGTGTGTTTGACGCGGCGTGCAAGTGCCCCTTGTAAACTTTTCCATATGAAAAAACCTTTAAAAGGGCCAACAATTTCGAGAAACCCTGAGCCCTCAACCTTGTAATTACCATTCCTCCATTCCCTTGCATACCCCGTCTAAGCTTTTGAGGACATTCCCACCAATAGGCCAGTAGGAAGGTGGATATGCCATATGTCAGCCGTTGTTTTTGAAAGGTTTCAGGGTCTGGGGCCCAAGGGTTACAGTTTTTTTTTGTTTTTTTTTTGTTGTAAGGGTATGTCCCTAAACCCCAAACCCTAGAAGGCTCAAATCTGAGAATCCAATTGTGAAGCATTTTGCTATTGCTTGTGCATGGTTTTCTAGAATATTGTTAGGTTGCGTCCCTGCATGGAGCTCCTAGCTTAGCGGTGCCAATGGTATTCATCTTGGACTTGGGGTCGCATGTAAAACGGATTCCAAACTTCAGGGCACATGTTCACCCTTTTGCGGCCCCCCTATGTGGAATCCACAACACTCCAATTTAGGTTGTACCTGCCTTGTGTTTTTGTGGTGCTTCTTCCAGCAAGGCTACTGCAGAGTGAAGCAGAAGGGTACCTTTCACTCCAAACCTTAAACTCCCCGAAACCCTAGACCCTACACCCTATACCTCAAACCCTCGACCGCATCACTGCTACAGCTTGGCTCACGCTTGATGGCCGGGTAGCGTCCGGGCAAGACGGGTTCTCTTTCCGTCCCTTTTGAGGACCACCACCTGCTGGTCGGTTTAGAATTTATGTTCCAGAGCACACAAGTCACGCATGGGGTCAGGACCAGGAGTTTTAGGGTTTAGGGTTTAGGGTTCAGGGTCTCCTTATGGCTATCCTTGATAATCATCATGCATGGATGTTCTTCCGCAAGCGTTGTTTTGCTGTAGACCCATGTGGTTTTGAATGCAATCATGTGGAGCATGCGACAGAAACCAACAGCAATAACAAGAGCCTTGTTTCTTAGACTCTGATCCCTACCTCGCATGCTTGGGGCTTGCGGGTCTACACCCGAAGCTGCTCAATTCCTGGCTGTTGGAGTTGATGCGACTGGTGTTACGAGTTCGGGTTTAGCATCTAAGCAGGGAGACCCAGTTCTGTGATTAAGGGGAAAACGCGAAACAACGCGGTGGCAGTAGTAGCTGTTGTCGCCGTTGCCGCAGTCGTCATTGTCGTCGATGCCACCGCCGTTGGTGCTGCGGCTGTCGCCGACTATGTCTGCAATGTCATGTGTCATCGATTCTGACTCTAGCCATGATCCCTTCACCGCCACCATAGGCGTCCAAAACCGTCAGCCCTATCCTAAACACAAAACCCTCAGCCTAGACATTTGGTAGTTTCCCTAAATAGGGGAACCCCAATGTAGACCCAAATATACCATATTCCTTATTGTAGGGACCCCCCAAAAAGGTACCCCCAATTTAGGGAAACCTCCATTTGTGCAGGACGCAAAACATCATCAAAATCAGGCCTGGCAGGATGTCTGATGTTCTGGTCAGGGTTTAGGGTTTAGGGTTTAGGGTTTAGGAACTGGGCTGTAGGGAGTCAGGATTTGGGTCTACCGTGCCGGGGCTTAAGCTTCCAGAGTCTGGGACAAGAGTTTTGTGTTGATTTGATTTGAGGGCGCAGAGGGCTAAGGCATGCTCCGGAACCATGAACCCTTTAATCCTAAATCTTTCACTAAACCCCTGAAGCCCTAAACCCCTAAACCCTCAATTTCTAAATCCTAAACCCCTAAACCCCTAAACCCTCAATTCCTAAATCTTAAACCCCTAAACCCTCAATTCCTAAATCCTAATCCCCTAAGCCCCTAAACCCTCAATTCCTAAATCCTAAACCCCTAAACCCTCAACTCCAGAATCCTAAACCCCTAAACCCTCAACTCCAGAATCCTAAACCCCTAAACCCTCAACTCCTGAATCCTAAACCCCTAAACCCTCAACTCCTGAATCCTAAACCCCTAAACCCTCAACTCCTAAATCCTAAACCCCTAAACCCTCAACTCCTGAATCCTACACCCCTAAACCCTCGACTCCTGAATCCTAAACCCCTAAACCCTCAACTCCGGAATCCTAAACCCCTAAACCCTCAACTCCTGAATCCTAAACCCCTAAACCCTCAACTCCTGAATCCTAAGCCCCTAAACCCTCAACTCCTGAATCCTAAACCCCTAAACCCTCAACTCCTGAATCCTAAACCCCTAAACCCTCAACTCCTGAATCCTACACCCCTAGACCCCTAGACCCTTAAACCCTACAACACAGCGATTCAGCCCTAGTCTTCTGGAGCCATGTCAGTACCTGCCTTTTATGGGGGTTCGCTATGGGGCGTCTCGCTGGGCAGTTTACAAAGGGTTTAGGGCTTACAATTTACAACCCCTAAT